GTTGATGTAGTGAGCAGATTTCTTTCTAATCCAGGGAAGGTTCACTGGGAAGCAGTGGAATGGATTTTTAGATATTTGAGGGGTACCTCAAAAATGTGCTTAACTTATGGAGTTTCACAATCAGTTCTAGAAGGGTTTACTGATGCTAACATGGCATGCGATCTTGATGGTAAAAAATCTACTTCAGGGTATTTGTTCACTTTTGCAGGAAGAGCTGTATCTTGACAATCTAAGTTACAGAAGTGTGTTGCTTTGTCAACTATAGAGGCTGAGTATATTGCAGCAACCGAAGCATGTAAAGAAATACTTTGGATGAAACGTTTTCTTCTTGAATTAGGGTTGAATCAAAAAGAGTATGTGATATTTTGTGATAGCCAGAGTGCTTTAGATTTGAGTAAGAATACCATGTACCATGCTAGAACAAAGCACATTGATGTTAGATATCATTGGTTACGTTCAGTGATTGAAGAACAGCAGATGCTATTGAAGAAAGTCCATACTGATAAGAATGTAGCAGATATGTTGACTAAGATACCCAGGGAAAAGCTTGAGCTTTGCAGTAACTTGGCCGGAATGAGTTCCCTGGCCAAGGTAAGTTCCAAATGAAACTGCTATGGTGATGAATCTCCTCCTAATGGGGCTGGAGGGGGAGATTGTTAGGAAAATGGGGTCCAGTCCCATGTAAGTGGTTTTGGACCAAGTAAAGGCCATGGGCCTTGATCTTTTATTTTACACAGAGCCCTAGCTACTTAATAAAAAAGAGGTGGGGTTGTTTTAGGTGTGTGTCGAAAACAAGCAAAGAAAAGAAAAAAGCCAGGAAAAGCAGAGAGAAAAAAGGAGAAGGGAGAGTTGGTTGAACGGAAGTCGATCCGTGGTCCGATTGAGTTGGAACCTTGTCAGGAGGTTTATGATTCAGAGTTCTACATTCTGAACGGTGAAGATCGGGTTTGAAGCTCTCTAGGAACAAATCCAGGGTGTATTTGTTGAGTCACTTATTTGGTGAGATTTCTCCAATTGTTTCTCTAGTTGTTGATTAGCTTTAGTTTTAGCTAGAGAAGAACTTTGTATAACTATTATTTGATAGTAAAAATTTTTTTGGTGACCCGTGATTTTTTTCCTCTATACTGGAAGATTTTTCACGTAAATCTTGATGTGCTTTATTTTTCTGCGTTTTTTATTATTGATTGTTGTCTATTATTTCTGTATTGTTGTGATTATTGCTTCAGGCGCAACATATTTCATTCAAGGTTTTTGCATGACCCAACTATAATGTTAGCTGTTGTCACATTGAAACAATGTAGGTGTTCGCACTTGGCATGATTTTGCCACAATTTTGGGCTTTAAGATTTTACTTGTTAGAATAATAATAATAATAAAAAAGAAGTTAGACAAAATGATGAACAGGGAATGATTTTCCTTCCTCATAAATCATAATGTCCGATCGATGGCGTCGAATTATAAAACTAAAAAGCACAGAGACGTGGATGAATTGTGAGCATTGATTGGATTTTATTTTTTTTTAAGTTATGGGTTTTTGGGAATGTTCAATGGAATCAAACAGGCTTAATATCCCACAGGGATTCATTTTCCCAAGGGAAAATTAGCCCCTGCTAGCCTGCTTTTTTTTGTTTTTTTCAAACGGTAAGGTTTTTGGATTTTTGTCCTATAATCTCATTTAAATAAATTTATACAAAATATTTTAATTAATTCAATATGAAAGAATATAATTTTAAAGGTCAAAATGTATTATAAATTTTTATATTCTTTGATTTTAAAAAATTTAATCTCTCTAATATTATTTAAAGAAATTTAGTCCTTATAATATTATTTTTTAAGAATTTTAATTTAACCATTAAGAATAAGTTCTTTAAAAAATAATATTATAGAGATTAATTTTTTAAAAAAATAATATTATAAAAATTAAATTCTTTTAAATAATATTATAAGGATTAAATTCTTAAAAATTGAAAAGTAGAAGATCCTATGACATATTTTAACTTAATTTTAAAATAATACATAAATGAGATTAAATTTAAAATCTTAAAATATTCATAAATATCTTATAAAAATATTAATTTTTGAATATTAACTATTAAGTCAAGATAATAAAATGTCATAAATAAGGTGGAATATTGAGCTACAATATTAAGAACAAAGATATAATTTCGTTTCGTTCAATTACTCTCTTAAACTTTAGGATCTGATAAAATTAACCCTCGTTAAGCCCCATGGAAACATGACATTTTTCTTCAAAGGAACAAAACAAACTTCATATTTCTTTACTGCCAGCAAAGAAGAAAGAATCCAAAATGCAAATTCACTAACTGACTGCTTTCTGTCCCTTTATATCATTGAGACAAAAGAATAATTGATGATTCAGGTAGCCCCTAACATATTGTAAACAAAAGCAAATCAATAAAGATCAATATATACAGGTATTGCCCCTCGAGAATCCATCAAAAAATATAATGAGTCATGTTTTGCATGCAGTTGCAGGCATAGGCTAGTTAACTTCATCAAAGATAGACAAAACTCTCACAAACTGCCGATGAAAGCTCCAAGGAAAGCGGGTTTTCAATCCATTTTCCGAGTCCTTTGGCGAAAGAAAGCATGGAAGATATGAGAGCGTTTGTGTGAGGGGCTACGTTAATCCTGCAAAGAGGGCAAGTTGGATGAACTCTGAGCCAGGCATCAATGCAGTGAACATGATAACTATGGTGACATGTTGGTAGCGACCGGAGTTTTTCCCCCTTGCAGACCTTGCTAAGGCACACCATGCAATCAATAACTTCATGGCTGCAGCTTCCATTTCCAAACCATTGCTTTAACCATTTGTTACAAGCATGGAGCAGGCAGCTGAGGACGAGGAAAGCCATGAAAACCAAGATTATTGGGAGCATCTTGGCTGAATATGTTGATGGAATTTGAATATACTTCTCTCTGCGTCAAGCAAGTTTCTTCAATGGGTTGTTTTGCTTGAGAAAACGAGAGCTTGGAGGAATATTTTGTTTGGTCTGGTTTGAATCAAATTTTATGATCCTATTTCTATTTCTTGGACTGCTGCCGTGTCTACAGGCAAGTGGCCAGTATGTTTAGGAAATTGTGTCGACGGGGAAGCTGCGTTGGAAAATTGTGATCATAACCTTATATTCGTTCAATTAGATTTATGCTATTCCCGGCTTTGAGCCTTCGACAGATTAAAACATCTCTGCTACCAACAGTAGGCTAGATGTTCATTCAGAGAGTTCAGTTCTAACTACATGACCAAATAATAATAAATGCTAAAACTCAAAGTGGAAACGTGTATAATTTCCTAGCTGCCCCAAGTCTTGCTGAAGCAAGAAGGCATGGAATAATTATAATGGACCAACCTCTCTTTTTTATGGATTTATATATTTATGCATGCAACAATGTATGTAGTTGCTAAATCAAATTTAATTCAATTAGTTCATATAATTAATTTTAAAATTTTAAGAAATAATTTTTAATAAGTTTAAAATTTAAATTTTAGTACTTTTAATTCATTTCTTTATCTTAAAATTATGATTTCTTTTATAAAGAAACGTAGATGTCAAAGAAGACTTGTTCACATTCTTTTTTCCTTCTTAGGATTGATCTAGAAACATAGAAATTAATGAACATGAGCATAGAATCTTTAAATTCTACCCTGATTTATAATATGTATGAAAGGTAAAAAAAAAAAAATCCTAACAGTATGTCATCAATATGTGACAATTTTGTATTTGTTTGAATATAGTTGAGTTTAATATGAAATAAAAATATATTATTAACTACTTTTTTTACACGTGTTATGCATGGAATTTTTTATTATAATTTTTATAATTTAAAATTTTAATTTATACTAATTTTTATATTATATATAGATAAATAAAAATATTTTTAATCATTTATAATTTGGAGTTTAAAATTACAAAAACCGTTTGTATATAAATTATTATAAAAAAATATAAATAAACATATTATGAAAGTTTTGAATTATAAATGTAAAATTACATACAAATTTCAATGAAAAAGTCAATTTTTTGTTCCCAATTACATAATATATTATTTTCGTATAAAAACTAAGATTTACACATGTGATATATTATGAAAGATTTTTTCATGTTTAGTTTTGAAACTTTATTGTGTCAAACTTTTGTGATGAAAATTTGATTGCTCTATCTTTTATAAAGAAGAATATATTGGTTATGAGAAAAAATCATAAATATATATTTAATAATTATTTAATTTAAAAATTTTTTATATTTTTAAAAATATAGTTTATCCAAATTTAATTTTAAATTAAAATAAAAGAAGTCAGTATAATTTTAAATTTAGATATGTATAATTTTAAATTGAGATAAAATATTTTTTTATTTTAAATTATAAAAAATAGACAAAAAATTGGTAAATAATAGTGGTTCAACCACAAACTTTATTTATTTAAATTTATATGAATATTGGTCTAAACGGTGTATAATTTTTTATGATTTCTAAGACAGGGATTTAACTTGTAAAAACTATTTAAATTTTATATTTCATATACATGGATAAGAGTGAGGTATGAGATATGCTTATCAGATTTACATTAGGATAAATCTTATATAAAAGATTTGGATAAATATAAATTTTAAATTTTTAAAATTTAAAAATTAAATAATTAATTAAATAAATTTATTTAAAACTATCTTACGTGCCAATAATATAAATTACCCACTTAAGAGTCCACATAAATAAATCTTATTAAAATTTTACATATATTATAGATAGTATTATATATGATTTAAGCATCCTTCAATCATCGGAAGGATTGCTTTGGTAGCTTTGTTTTTATGACCTTCAACCCTTAGTTTCTATTCGAATCAAAATTTTAAGCCCAAGATGTGGTGGTCTGAATGTAACCTAACCCACAGAATAACCAGGCCCTTTAACATCAATACAGGCTTTAACAAATTGAACAAAGGCTGAACTCAATATGTAAAACCCAGCGCCTGCAAAAATCAGAGAAGCCGTAGTGGTATCTATGTTTAACATTCTGTTCTTTTTCGCTCTTCGGAAACTTCTGCATCTCAAATTTCTATACTTCTCTGAGCCAAACTCTGTTTCTCTTGCTCCCTACATTTCTCAGCATTCTAAAAGAAAAAAATTATCTATTTTGGCTTTCTGAAATGCTGGCGTCTCAATTGTGTTCTGAGTTATGTTGAGATAAGATTTTCCGAAGTCCATGGTTTGATTATTTGGGCTGAATGAGCTCCCATGCCATTACTAGGGAAACTTTTCTGTTCTGGGTTTTTCTTTGTTTCCATTGCTTGGCTTTGGTTCCAGAGATTTTATTGCTTCTGAAAGCTTGAAAGAAGGAAAAATGTCAGATTTTTTTGCCTTTACTATTGGCATGTCTAACTTCAATTTCTATTTGTTGAATTTGTCTTTTGGAAGACAAAAGTGGGTTACTTAGATCTTATGTGGTCATGGTTTTAAGAATTCGTGTTGTCGTTATTTGTCCCTGCTTTGGTTCTTTTCATCACAAGAACTCTTGCAGCTAAAACATGGGTCCTTTTCTTTCATTTTTTTTTTCTGTTGTGTTTGTGATTTTTTCACCATCTTCTTACTGAAAATTAACTATGAGAATCTTTATTGTGCTGGGGTGCCTGAACAGATATTGCCACTGCTCAACCTTACTTGCAAAGTCCTCTCGTCCGGTGAGCGTTTAAACCCTTATTCATGGTCAAGTGATATCAAATCCATGGAAATCCTTAAAAATTACCTACAAGGATAAATTTTCGTGTGGGGCACCTGGAGAGTCAAGGTGGAAAACTCCAGATTAGAGTTCAGTTCCAAAAGAAGATGGACATATTAAGTCACAGCTTGGTAGTGATTGAAGTCCTTCGTTAACTCAGCTTGAATCTTTGAAGTCTGGAGACTCAGACGAGGAACCGAATGAGAGAAAAAAGTTAAGACGGATGAGCATTTCTAAAGCAAATAAGGGAAACACACCATGGAACAAAGACAGGAAGCACGGTGCTGGTAATTTCCATTAACTGACCTTGTTTCTTTAATCAGTCTGCTTCTATTTTATCTAGTGCATAGTGCATTTGTTACCATGTTACCACAAATGCAATATACTTTTATCTGCGGAGACACTTCAGTGGATAAGGGAGGGAACAAGACTTGCAATGCAGAATCCTAAGCTGATGTCATGTAAGAATTTTTTATGTTATAATGGGGTTTTGAACTTTGTATGTTTTATGTTTGAATAGGGTGATATCAACCACATCAATAGACCTGGTATCTTGCAATTAGGTTGTTATCTGCTACATATTTGAATCAATTAATTCATTCCTTAACTGGTTCATATAATTCTTTTGGCATTCCTAATCTCATTATAGATTGATGTTGGACTAATGAGAGCTATTTACTCATGAAAATTTCGAAATGCAGGTCAAAATGAAGTTGGTTAACCTTGGACATGCTCAGAGGTGGTACTTTATCGTTAGGTTTTAGTTTTAAAATTTCCATCTTCTGCTATTAATTCTAGCCACTCCTAGTCATTCAGAGTTATTATATATGTCCTTTATCTTGTACTTGAGATTTCAACTACTGTATCTCAAACTTCTGAAATTTATATATGCTTTTGTATCTTCACAGCTCAAAAGGTAGGAAGCCAACGCCTGGTACGCAGTCCAAGCAGATTCCTTCAAAGATGAAATCTAGTGATATAAACTATTCTTCTACTAGTGAGACTATAATCCCAATTGAACGGTTAAGGTTACAAAGAAGAAATAAACCACTTTATAGGGATCCTATGGCAAGTTCCAAACTTGAGATGTTAAAGAACATCAGAGCAAAAAGAGTAGGAGAAGAATCCAAGAAAACTGAAGCTGTTGAACGAGCAAGGTTAGTTATTGCTTATATTCTGCAAGTATAAAATATGAATGGTGGCTACGAGAGAAGCAAGGGTACACCTGTCCAAACCTTCTTAGATATGTCCCTTAATCATTACCATGCATCCTCCTCCTGCATTCTAGGTATCAATGAGAAAAATAGGTTGCTAATTCACTGGATAACTCAATGCTTACATACATGACGCTGCAGACTTTTAATTGTTGAAGCTGAGAAGGCTGTGAAAGCCCCTGAAGTTGCTGCAGTTAAGAGCCCTGTTGTTCGAGCTTCCCTCATTGAAAGCAGAAAGCTTATAGCAGAAGCAATTCAATTAATTGAATCGATAGAGAGATGAGATGAGAATGGTGGATATAGTTCTGTTGAATCAGCTGCACCAGTTAGCCAGGTTGAGAAGAAAATGCAATCAGAAAACAATAGTTTGAGCCAAGCAGACCAGAAAGAAGTTAATGGGAACCAAATCTTTTCATTAAGTGGGAACGAGGAGTCTAATTTCCCCAACTTTATGTTCCCAAGGATTGTGAATGGTAACAGTGATGAAGAAATTATTTCTCCCAACTCGAATAATCATAGTTTATCAACTCTCAACTTCGAAAGTTTGGTTAAGAAGTCTGATTCATCTAAGCAACTCAAGCAGTTGGAAACAAATGAGATTATCAAACATGAGAAGAGTCCTCTAGCAAATGGAACCAAAGTTGGGCTGAAGGACGATGACGTGCCTTCTAATGCAGTTGCTGTAACTGTAACTAAGAAATTACGTGGTAGGCTTGTTGAAGTCACTGAAGAGGCTTCATAAATATCATAAACTAGACACAGATCTTCATCTGAGCTTCCTGAACATACTAAGAAAATTCTGCTGTGTCATGTGCAAGAGTCCTAACAACCTTCTTGAATATGCTTGGGCACTACTATTGACATGTGGAGTTGATTCTTTATTATCAGCTACATTTTCAAATTGCAATTAGCAAAATCTTTTGTTACTACCGCGTCACTTGAAGCACGGATATATCTGTAAGTTTAACTATGACATGAGTGCTGTGAACCTGAATGTGTAAGCGACTGCTTGACAGAGGTGCTACATTAGAATCTTGGTATGGAGTATTCATAACAAACTATAACGCTTATATATATATATATATATATATATATTTCTCTATCTGTTTCCTCTTGCTTTCGTTCTCTTCTTTTCCTTTCTTGATCTCCTGCTCCACCTCCTCCCACTAAAAAACACCTAAAACCAATATAAAATATAACTCCCAAAAAAAAAAAAAAAGAGAAACACTATTGGCGCGTTTGGTTCCTGAATGAAATAGATGAGGGAATGTAACAAACATAACACTGAGCAATGCACAGAGAAAAGTTACATCGATGTTTTCATTTAAAGGCCGCTTAGCCCCCATGCACAGCTGCTCGGTATGATGCTTTAAGGTTAATGAACCACGCCAATAAGGATTGATTAAAGTTTAAGGTCTGGATGCAAAATATTAAAGTTTGAATTTTTATAATATTTTATTGGTAGACAATTTATAAATATGAAAAGTTTTTATAAAAAAATAATTTTTAAATTTCGAATGGATTGATGGTTTGATTGGATTGATTAAAGTTTAAAATTTAAGTACAAAATATTCGAGTTTAAATTTTTACTATTTTTTATTAATAGACAATTCATAAATCTAAAAAATCTTTATAAAAAAATTATAAATATTTTTATGAATTAACGGTTTATCCTAGAAAATAAGATAACTTCCTTATTCTTAAATTTAAAAAAAAAAAAAGTTAATGAACCACAGCCGTGTTCCTGCTTCTGGTTCCAGACTATCCTAGCATTGCCTACAGGCACAGCTCTCTACCATCTCCTACCAACTCCATTAACAAGGAAATTATCCTTCAAGCTCGAGTTTTCCTTCTTAAGGTTCCTGCCTTTTCTGCTTCCACATTCCAGTTAGTTGTCCACGTGTATATAGCAATGATGCCACGTGTCATGTAATATAACCACTTTTTGCATAAAAATTGCATGCAATAAAAATTTTCTTTGACAAAACAAATGTATTTTTGGGTTTCAATTCTAAACTCAATGGCAAGGAATTTGATTTATTTTTAATTGTTTATAGTACTTTTTTTTATAGTTAAAAAGAGTTTCACCTGCGAACCGAACCGGTCGCTTAGTCCCTTTCGCTATTGGTTACAAGAGCGCCGCTTAGCCACTGTTTTTCTCTTCCTCTTTTTAGTTTCCGACTTTCCTTCTCTTTACAATCTCTCAAACTCAAAGTTTCTCCTTTTTATCCTTTTTCTATAAACGTTTCATCGAATCAAACTTCTTGACTCGGTCTTTGATTCTTTACAAACAAAACCCATGTTTTTTTTTTCTTTGAAAGTCTTGAATTCTTTGTAAAAAAGAGACTTTTCTTTGTTGTTCGTAACTTTGGAATATACAGATCCCTTTGATTCCATTGATTTCCAATACCCATTTAAACCAAAAAGAATCAATACCCAATGCCACTCTTCCCACCATCACCACCATAAATTCTTCTCTTTTTTGTTCTTTATTTTTCTTTTATATTGAAGCATTTATACTTGATAATAAAATAAAGAAAAAAAATCATCATCATGAGGGCAAGATTGGTGGTGTTCCCAATTAAAGGGAAAAACTGGTGCTTTAGCAGATCCATTGACCAGTCTGTATCAGAATCCACCGCTGCTAACATTCCTTCCACTGTCAAAGGGCTTTGGAAGAAGATGTCATCCAACTCCAAGCCCCTCAATGCCAATGCTGAGCTTCTTGTTGATTTCATTTCCAACAAGGTACACCCTTTTGTTTTATTCTCCTTCCTTTCTATGTTATAAATGTTAAATACCCGACCTTTTTATATTTGCATTTCATGCTTTCATTAACTTCAATGTGTATTTGAAATGTTTCGTGTTTTTTCTTTTTTTATGGTTTTTGTTATAGATGAATAAGGCGTGGATGGGTCTGGAAAAGGCGCCTGACGGCAGTTTCAAAAACAAGCTACATGGGTATTACTTCAAATTTGGTTGGTATAAATTATTTGATTGTTGCCTTGGTTTATACTGATCTGTTTTTGCATTTTGGGTTTAATGTATGTAGGTTGGGATTGCGGCTTTTAGCTCGAGTTAAGCCATCTGAGATTTTGTTGAAATCTATAACCAAGGATGTTAATAATGTTCAGATTACATACCCTTCCAGGTTCTTTTTCTTCTTTTCAATTGCTACATGTTCCATTTTATATCTCAAATCTAGTTCTGTTTCATAAACTTGCTAGTATTTATATTTAAATGTTCTCATGGATCTATATTTAAGTACAATTTATTTTTTCTGTTCAGAAAATGTTCTATTTGTTATCCGGTTCTGTGGTGAAGGAACAACATTATGCTGAAGTATTAGAAGGGATTTTGTAAATTTTGGTTTTAATTAGAATAGTTACCGTGTTATTGGCCTGCAGCTATATATAGCAAACCTTTTGTAAAACTATGTGAATGGCATTTTTCAAGAGTCATGCTACTTGGTCCACCAATTTGTCCAAAATGTGTGCACTCCTTGATATGCCATATAATTATTGGATAAATTCAGTGGCATCTAACAATTCATGGATAAGTCACTAATTCATCAATAATGTATTACACAATCAAACCAATAATTATACGTCATGTCAGGGAGTAAAATTACTTGGGACAAAATGGTGGGACGAATGGTATTTCCCTTTTTATAAACAATCATCTGCCTTTAGTTGTCCTGTGTATCTAGATAGATATGTTGCTTCTTCTATGGGAAAATTAACGTGACAGACACTTAGAGAATACCGAACATTTTAGTCCACTAGTGTTTAGTACTTTGGATAGTTGTGGGGAATTTAGTTTGATGTGCTTAAAGAACTTGTTAAATTAGGTTGGTTCTGTGCATTTTGTCGTGCTTCAGATTACTGGTTTGTTCCTGATACTTCTAACATTTTGCAGTTTAAATGCACGGCTTGTGCGGCGAAGATTACGACAGATAGCCTTGAGGTAATTGTTCTTCCTCCTTTCTATTGGCTTCTCTGATAAGCTGGAAATTAGAAGATATTTCTCAAGTGCAAACACAATGTAATACCACGAAAATATAGCAGACAATGCTTGATAGTTTTTAGGTCTCTATATGTTCAGAATGAACATGATAATGGTGGGAAAGGTCCTTTAACTTGGTTTATGACATTTCTGAGGCATCACTAGTGTGTTATTGAGAATGCCCTTTGTTGGTGCCAAGCTCCGACAAGTCAATAAGGATCAGGTCGGAAAGGAAGTGAGAAAGTAGGAAGGAGAGAAAGAGAGGAATGGGATGAACCTGTCTTCATGGTGCATGAGTTTTCATATTTATAGGTAAGCTGAGGGGGACAAATGAAAAAATTAAGATGGGGCCAAGCTGAGGTGGCACTTACTATGTCAGACCGACCTAACATGTCAGGTTGGCACAAATGACCAAGATACCCTTGATTGTCTACTAAGGGGAAAAAAGACCACTATATCTTTTTGATCATTATATGCCTCTAACACCCTTCTTCCTGATCTGTATACAGTTTTATGTCTCTATACATTTTTATGTCTCAGGGCCCAGTTTATTGATATCTTTGCATTTAACCCCAACAATTTAATGAAAAAGAAAAAGGTTTTGGGGTTTCATTGTTGTGTTTAATTATGTTTATATGTTTTTGAATGTTTGTACAAGTTCCTGCAGGTAAGCAATATTCTTACTAAAACAAGTGTTCGCTGATTTTCAGGGGTACTGTTATACACAGGAAATACTTTTATGGTTCAGTTTCGTTGCTTCCACTGACAACTGCATTTACCGTACGTTTGTGGTTTCTTTTGTTGTTACATGCTATGTAACCTCTTTTGCGCATTGTATCTTTTTGTTTTTTTTTTATTTCAATTTGTCTCACATTCTCACTTAATTTTCTCTCACACAGGTTCTACCTCTGCCGAATATCCCATTCTTTTGGGTATTGTTTCGCACTTATTCACATTGGCGAGCTCTCCAGGTGGATTCAATGTTCCTAGAGCTAGATACTTTGGGTGGTTTGAATCTGTTTACATGGCTAATATTTGATTGAAAAGTTTGGCATAACCTATTGTAAAAGCTGGTTCTTTATTAGTAAAATTTAATTCTATGTCAACTAGATGGGTCATATCGCTGATCAGCTTTAGCTGCCCAACTTTTGATAAGATACAAATCCTTTACATAGATATTCAGCTTGAGTCATATATGCAACCATAACCTGTTTTAAACATAGTTAGATATTCACAAGATTACTTCTTTTCCCTTGTCGCTCCTTATTACTGATTTCTCTCATCACCTATGAATATGTCTATAAAATGCATTGGTTATCCATTCCTTTCCACTTCTCTTATGTGCATCCGCATGCATATTGTTTCTTGCTTGAGGAGTTGGAGAAGATTTGGTTCATATCTTGCTGAATGAAGAAAAAGGAGTTAGATGTCCAGTACAAAGTAGTTGGCTTTTAAGCAATACAGAGTTTGGAGTTTTATAATGTAGATCCCTTTGTTTTTGGTGTCATTCTTGACTGTAGTCACTCTTTTTTGAACCTATGCTTTGTATAATTCTTTGGTATACAGTATCGGCATACACTCATCATTGTTTGTCTGAGTTGATGTTGCAGGGAAGTGAGAAGCTCCTTCAGCTAGTCTCAGATTACTCCCAAGCTCAAAACTCAATTGTTTCTAATGGGAAGGCGAACGAATCTGAGGATAACAATTCCAAGTATGGAACAAAGAATTCGCCAGGTTTTCAATGGGTAAGCTCATAATCATATATGCTAATCTGAAAATATATGGACGCAAATGGAGTATATGATGTTAGTCATTAAGTGTGTTCCTTATCAACCTTTGCTTTGATTTAACCTTAAATTGAGAATCATAGAATTTTGTTAGGTTACATTTCAATCTTGATCAGAGTGAGAAGATTTAGTAATTGGTCCCAATAAATATTACACAGATATACATTTACTCAATTACCAGCAAGTATGTTCCATTTACGTTTTTCATTGTCATTAGTTTATTAGTGGTAATGATATTTATAACTAATGATGTTTAGCAAAGTAAAGTCGATATACATTTTGATAATAACTTGGTTATCATGTTCTCTATCTTTATAGGATTCATTGTTTTATTGGTTTGTCAGTCCCATGTGACATCTAAATCTGACAAACACTATCCAATGGTAGTTTGTGATTATGTGGCGTTTATGATTGGGGCAGCACATAAATTTGCTCGCATTTTGTTTCACGTTACATTTTCAGTTAATTAAATGAACAGGTATTGGAGCCATCGAAGGAATTGGATGGCCTTCTTCACAGGGGACATGAAAATGGCAGTCTTTGTGAAGATGCTATTGCAGATATATGCATGACCTTTAGTTTGAACAAGAATGATGTTTTAAAATGGAGAGATTTGGTGTAATTGACATTCTTTTTTCTTTCTTTTTTTTTTTTTGTGTCAATATAACAATATTGTGAAAAATAAATGCAAATCTATTTTCTTTCTGAAGAAACTCTCTGAATCATTGAGTGTGCAATGCCATTCATTCTTTTGCAACATGCAAAACATAGAATATGAAAAAGTATACGCAAATATGAAATCCACATTAGAACAACTCAAAAACAAATTCATAAAAGGTAGCAGCGGATGCAAAATATCCAGTTTGAAAGCAAAACATGTCTAATAAAATGTGGTCAATTGTAAACCATGTATTTGGGCGTTGCACTAAACTTTTGATAACCTTTGATGACTTTGTTCACAGCATCAAGAAAGTCTTTTTCCGTCACTGTTTTCCTTCGAGCCCGAATGGCATACATTCCAGCCTCGGTGCACACGCTTCTTATGTCAGCTCCTGTAAATAAAAATCATAAATCTCAAAACCACTTCAAGTAAGACAAACAAAACTAAAAAAGTTTAAACACATAAAACAAGAAACTCCAGGAGAAAGACTCTACCAGTGGAATTAGGGCAAAGCCGGGCTAAAAGCTCAAATCTAATATCACGCTCACAGTTCATTGTTCTTGTGTGAATTTTAAATATCTGTGTCCGACTCTCCAAATCGGGTAGACCAAACTCGACCTTGCGATCCAATCGTCCAGGACGTAACAATGCTGGATCTAGTGTGTCTGGCCTGAAAAATGCACAAAAATAAAAAGACCACAAATGGCATAATCATCTCCTGTTCACATTCAAATACTAGTACAATTAATCAAGATAAAACCTTCAGTGAATACTAGATTAAATCCTGCTAGATTCGAAGAGAGAGTTGAAATTATTAGGTTGCAACTTTTAACCTGTTTGTTGCCATCAGGACTTTAATGTTTCCACGAGCATCAAAGCCATCAAGCTGATTCACGATTTCAAGCATAGTACGCTGAACCTCATTGTCCCCACCCACACCATCATCAAAGCGTGCTCCACCAATGGCATCAACTTCATCAAAGAACACAATGCAAGCTTTCTTTGAACGTGCCATCTGCAGCAGATAAAATCTTTGTTCAATAATGGCAAAATGAAAAAGGTAGTGTAAAACAACTTCAAGAGATAACATAAACAACGAAATTTGGCAGGTTATAACCTGAAACAGTTCTCGAACCATTCTAGCTCCTTCACCAACATACTTTTGAACAAGCTCACTTCCAATAACACGAATGAAGCAAGCATCAGTTCTATTTGCAACAGCTCTGGCAAGAAGTGTCTTGCCAGTTCCAGGAGGACCATAACAGAGAACACCCTTAGGAGGATCAATCCCAAGCTTGACAAATTTTTCTGGATGAAGCATGGGTAACTCAACAACCTAATAGAACAAAACTCATCAATCCATGCATTTTAGTCTCTAATTCTAACTTAGTATAAAAGTATAAATAATAGGAGAAAGGTTTCAGGTTTTCTATGTGTGTGGCTGTACATATTAACATAAGAAAAATGATCATGCGTACTTCGCGCATCTTTTCAATCTGTTCTTTACATCCACCAACATCATTATATGTCACATCCGGCTTCTCCTCCACCGTCATCATGGTCACACTTGGGTCAATTTTAGGAGGCAAGGGAATTTGTATTTGATATTTGTTTCGGTCAACCCTGCAAAGGCAGAATAACAGTCAACTAAGGAAAATTGAGAAGTTTACACACAAAGACAGGAACATACAAGGACGTAAAAACACAGTTTGCTTACATAAAGAAAAATAAAGGCAAAGGTGAAAAATCATAAAAGCATGGAAATTCAAATGCTACTACTATTTTTAGTAAAAAGACTATCCAAACTTATCGACACTATAAAATGAGGTGAACATATAGTAAAATAGTCCGAATGGCTATACTTGGTGGCATTGACTGTATGATTATTGCTCCTGCTTACAGTGCTCGGTGTCGGGAAGTCCTTAAGGTTGAATCCTTGTTTTAACGAAAAAAAGTTACTAAACAGGGAAAATCGATGATGGTTCAAATCCATGGTTGGCATGGGGGTTTTTTATGTGACCCCCAGTAATGGCAACAAACAAATACTCCACAAATTCTATCCAAAAATTGCAAATATACATCTATCTAGAAGCTACAAAGGCTAAAGAAAAAGGCAACAATAAAACTGCAATGGGAGATACAAACTATTTACAGGATATTAAACTTTAGGCAAAATGTAAACTGTGAAATGCACATACATTGTAAAAAGAATTCACGCCTGAAATCTTTTAGTAACAAATAGAAAACTTACCCCACACGCATGCCTTCTTCTATATCAGTGGGGGCAACTTTGTCACCCAGCCCAACAACAAACTGCAGTTAGAACCCATATTCATTCAACCAAAAAGATCAATGTCTATTCTTCTAACAAAGAAACTATTTTAACTTAGAAAGTATATCTTCAATCATCCAGATTGGCAAAGAAGAAACTCAGGGTCTTAAGATACAAACCTTGGCAATTTGCTTAACATTGATAACATATTTTGGTTCTTCTGTGTTTGGATTAATTATCTTTGTGCATCTTGCCACCTGGATGACAATTTTGGTCAATGCTCAATGGCTCAAAACAACATACATAAATACACAATTTACTTAAAAGCCTTTTTAGTAAAAATCAATACCTGAAGTGGTTGCTCCTCCTGCATCATTTGCTTATCAGAGACAAGATCCCATTGGCTGGGTGCAGCTAACCCAGTGTCTGACTCCTTGATGCCTAATGCAAAGAATACCAGAATAAAAAACAGAAATACATTTAAGTACAGACCTATTTTGCAACAAATTAGTGAATAGTGGCGAATAAATAGTACTTTGAGTTTGAAAATTTGGATAACTAACTAGAAAAGAAAACCATTAAATATAACTCAACAGTTTAGCATGACAGCCATAGCTGCTAAACATAGTCATATGATACTATGCTTGCAGCTGGCAATGAAGAAAAAGAAGACACAACAATAGGCAGAGAGATTGCAGAAACATACTAATGCCAAAAGATGCATGCATTAATGATAGCTTTCCTAGAAAAAATTGGTCAGATGCTGCGAATTATGGAATTCACGCAGATTTTCCACACGATAATATAAACTAATATGCCATTTAAATTGACCCCCCTTTTCTTTTGAAGTAAAGATACATATAATACACATACAGATATGATATTGCATCCTACATGCTGTAAAAAGACCAAAAAAAAGAGTGAAACTAACGCTTTAGCACCCCACTTAGAACAAAAATGGTTGCCAAAAATAGACACCTCAACCTCATGTTTAAATCTAAATAATACATGACGACAGAAAAAATACAGCCAACAAATGGCTTCATAAAACAGAGACATAAGCACTGGAAAAGGGGGGAAACATATACCGCATAAATCATTCACTTTCTTTGCCATCTCCTTAATCTCCTTTTCAGCTTTCTTTATGCTTGTTGAATAAGGCCCTAACCCCTGCCAAAACCACAAAAAAAAAAAAAAAGAAATTGATCGCCTATTCGCTCACAAAATTAATACATAAAAAAAAATGGAGCATAAAAATTTTATCAGGGCCTGAACAGTAGATTTTTCTTTATAAACCCTAGAAATTGGCGATGGATGTTATGAGAACATCTTAAGACAACAGATAATATCCTAAATTAAAAATCAAAAGCAACCTTCCATAGCTGAAAAAGAAACGTGAAAAAGAAACCGAAGATTCATAAAAGAAAAGAAAAGAAAAGAAAAAACAAAGCGAGAGAGACGGAGAGTAAATTACATAGGTTTTGAGAAGAGCGATATCGTCTTCGTCAAGAGGTCGGGGGTTTTTCTCGTCCTTGATCTCATCTTGTGGTTCTGGTGCCATCTTTGGATCTCTAACTTTCTTCTTCTACCTCTTTGCTTCAGCTGAGAAATCAGATACAGAGAAAGTAGACGGAAACTACCATTTATGTAAGTTTCTGTTTAGAAAATATAATATTTATGGTTCTTTTTAATGGTGGCCGATGGCCTACCATCTCTGAATCTTGGCCTGCTTTGAATCGGGCTTAGTTTTCGTTTTTCAGAAAATAGTTGGAATTGATTTTAGCATTAACTTATTTTGTTTGGAAAATGCCTTTTATTTTTGCTAAAAAATAAAAAATATTTTAATGATTGAATTTTTTTAATGAATTTAATAACTCATTTTAAAAATCACTTAAATAGAAAAATTTTAATGAAAAAGTAGTGAAAATCTTTATTAGTTAAAAACTTAATGTTATTTTCTTTACTTTTTCAATTTTCACTAATGTAAAATATTTTAAAAAATCAATAAAACATTTTGTTAAGCATCCAACTTAAGATCAATTGACAATAAGTGAAATAATTGAACTTAAATATAAGACTACAAAATATTAAAAATTTATTAAATATAAGATAAATTACTTTAATAACCTTCATCACGTGTAGACGAAAATGAAAAAAACCTTACATGTGACAAATTAAAAAAAAATAACAAAAAAAAAACTTAATTATAATATCATATTAAACATCTAACTTAAAATCAATTAACAATCAATAAAAAAACTCAATTTGAATATAAAATTACAGAACATTAAAAATTTATTATACGTGAAATAATTCACTTTAACATATTTATTTAGTATTCGATTTTCAATAAAATATCAAATAATTTTTATATTAAAATTTCAGTGTTAAAAATTTTCAAAAATAAAAATTCAATATATATATATATATATATGAATAAAATAGATGCAGCTCAGTGATAATGTAAATGCAATGGATGAAATAATTTCGATAATTGGATTACTTAAATTTTGAATTGAGTGATAAATATTAAAAAATGAAATATATGAAATTAATTATGATACATAAGAGAGAAAGTATAAAATGTAAAATTAAAAATTTTAATAATTTATCAAACACACCCTATTAATGACCTTATTATTGTAAAGAGAATAAAAGAAATATTAACATGAACAGAACGGCGAAAGAATTTAATTGATAAGAGCCACCGATTGGACTAGATTGCAATATATTACAAACTTGAAACTGAAGCTAAAGT